CCCCAAAACCCCAAAACCCCAAAACCCCAAAACCCCAAAACCCCAAAACCCCATATGTTCAAAAAAGGTAAATTAATTAAAAAGAATGAAGTCATCTTTCTCATGATGAGTTTTTAATAGTATTGGGCTTTAATATAGATAGCTTCACCAGAGTCGATCTTCCTCTCCATACTGCGTATTTCCTGTCTGGGGACGCAATGGCCTTGACCTTCATTTTCTGTGGAGCCAATTTTTCATTTCCTTGCAGAGCCTCTCTCCGAGTCCTGAGAACATGGTGGTTCCTTGGGAGAGAATGATGTTAGCGTATAAGGCATTCCTGACATTCAAATCATAAGTCATGATGGAGTCGTAGGTCGACTGGCGGACGCTCTTGCATTCTCTGCCTCCCAAATCTGGCTGAAACAAGAACTCTGGGCATTGGAATCTTTGAGTGGAGATCTTGAGTAGCCGTCCATCTAGCAATGCGTATGACTCTTCTAGCTCGCCTCCTTCTCCTGCTTTCTTGAGTTCTGCCTCATAATCATCAGCAAATTAGCTTAGCTTCTCTTTGATATCTCTAGCATTTTCCTTCTCGGCAGTGGCCTTGAAGTGGTATTCATCGTCTTTGAGGGTCCTGAATATGTACAGTAAGGTCTCTTACTGCTAGAAGAATCTTTTCAAGACTTTTACGATTTGGTATCCTTCATAGATTGTCATAGTATTTTATAAACCGTCTACAAAATCTGTAGGGATACCAGTATATTTCCCTGTTGAGTCCAATGATAAGGTAACATTGATATACATTTTTGGGAATCATATTTGCCAAACATAATTCTACATATGCTCTCTCAATGTTGTTTTTGATTTAATTGGAGCCTCAGTCGATAGAGCTGGATGGTCTAGGGCTTTATCTTAAGTTCAGTGTAAGATATATAATCCCAAATCTTTTTATACCACCTAAACCCTTAACCATTATACTCTTTATTGGATATGGCAAGGTAAAAACATCTCTCTTTTAGTAGACTTTGTCTCCAACGAAGCAATATTTGTATCCCAGTCTCTATCGGCATTTACTTTTTTAACCTTTAGCTTAGCATTATTAGATGAGAATACTGAGTTTAATTGGTTCTCTACCTCAAGTCCTTCTTTGAGAGCAAGTGAACCATGGCTTACAAATATGGTATCTTTTGCATTATCTCCTTCCCTCATTTTTGGTGGATACAATTAGAATATTAGAATTAACAAATCTTTTCTTGGGGTTTTGGGGTTTTGGGGTTTTGGGGTTTTGGGGTTTTGGGG